ACCAAAACAAGCCACATTGAACCAATTAGAGTTACCTAACCGATATCATAACATTAGTCTTGAAATTCATTTTAGTAAAAATATGAGATTTCTTCTACTAACCTGCAAGGGGTGACGGAGAAATGCTGGCTCATACCGGCCTTTGCAGAACCGGTGGAAGAAAAAGGTGAGGATCGGTAAGGCGAGGAGGAATGGTGTGGACTGAGCGGCTCCTTTAGTACTCATTAATCCCATCAAAAGGATTTGCGATATGATCAAAGCCGTTATTATACGTCCATGAACATCTGGCCAGAACGCAGCCGCGCTTTCGTATTCTTGATTGTACACATTAATGATCTGCATAAAGAGACCCCGAAAAGAGACCAAGAATCAAGATTTAAAGTCATGAAACAGTTTAGCTGATAAACCAAGAAAACCGAATGTGAACCCTGTTCGACCAGAAAAGCTTGACCAGAGACAAGAATCTTGAAGATGTTAAAAGAAGAAACAGAGTTTTTTTTTTTGTACCTGATGACGAAACACGAGGTAGGCTAATGCGAAGAAGATTATAATGAATGGCAGTAAAACCGGAGTCACAGGAGCGTAAACAAGACCGAGGAGGAAGTAGAGTTGAATCCGAGGCTCTGTCGCATGAAAATTTATATGTCCCGGGTTCATTGCTTCTTCTCTATCCTTTTCAGTTTTCACCAATAGGGAGTTCTTTATATGGAAAAAGATAAGAGGTTTCAGCCTCAGAATCTCCCCTGCAACACTCGCCCATCCGTCAACCATTATGTATGTGATAAAAAATGTTGCTTTTATCGGTATAGCTACTCCAACCGTCTTAGGAATCCTAAAAAGGACACAACGCAAACGATTCATAAACTCGAGGATCAAACAATGTTGCAAGAGTGAGAGAGACAGAGAAAAGGGAACTTACTGATTTGCTGATTGTTTAAGAAAAGAATCGAGTTGTTCAAATGCAGAGCCAGTGATTATGCTTCCAAGGAATATATTGACGAGGTTGAAGATATAATATCGAAAAGCCGCTCTTCTCTCTAACGATGATAAAGATACAAACCCTTCGAACTTCGACATTACCATCAAAATGCTTGGCAGAAATATTATAAAGAGCTTTAACACAATACCCGGAAGAAAACCTTGGATAACCGATTTAATAAGGTCCCTACAAAACATCTCATTTCGTATAAGTCGAGGCAAGAAAATGGC